CAACCTTATAACCACGACAGATCAACAGCAATGTAATCGTGTCTAACAACCGCCTCCCTATAGTTAGAGAAAGTAACGAACTAGAAAATACTCACGTATTCTTCCCTCCCTTGATTGGTGCCAGTTGCACGTATGATTTACATAGCTTGCCCAAAATACTAGCGGCGGGCTAGCAGTAGGCCGAAAAACGTGGCATAAAAACGAAGCGAAACGGGTCAAAACGCCCGACGAAGAAAATCATTCATCTTGGGACATTTCAAAGGTAATTTCCGGACGCGAGTTCCCCCATAGGCATCTTCAGCAGGCCAATAACTGCTGCGGTAGGTACGACTGCCCGTATGTACTCACATATCCATGCGATTCTGCGGCCGCTTCACACCAGTCCCCTCGCTTCATATTTTACTTAGCAAATGAAGCAATACGAGCATCAGGTACGGTCGCCCATTTGTGGGCGGAGGGGCGTGTGGGCGTTTGGGTCGGTGTGTTGTAGCTTGATAGGGCTTTATAAGGGTAGCGCCTGCTCAGGGTAGCGGAATCCCAGGCGTATAAGAATGTATCCGCAAGGCGTATTATTCCTACTGGTCTCAGGGATTTACCTTGCCAATTGCCTTTAAGCCTAGCATAGCCGTCGACTTTTCCTCAAAGTCTCGAGTCTTCCGGGGAATATCCCAGCTCTTCGTCGTTTCTGCGGATGGCACCCTTCAGTCATTTGCCGGCTAGCTTAAAGGCAGTTGGCACGATGGTTTCCTACTTAGCCTAAAATGCTAGTAGGGCGCTGTATAGTGGGGAAATGGCGAAAGAACGGAGTGAAACGGTCAAAATCCTGCGAAGAAAAAGCCTCCGTTCTCAGTGACTTGTAAATCGATTTCGGACGAGTTTCCCGTAGGCATCTTACCAATCACCGCTACCGAAGATACGGCTGCATATGTGTACCCATGCATGCAGCATCACGGCCGCTTCATACCAATCCCTTCGCTTCATAATTTGCTTAGCAAATGAATCGATTAGAGCGTCAGGAACGGTCGTCCATTTGGGCGGCGGGCGGGCGTTTGGGACGTAAAGTTGTGGCTTGATAGGGCCCTTATAAGGGCACCTTCTCGGGGAAACCGCTATGCAGCGCCTGCCCAGGGTCGCGGAATTCTATCCTGCCAGGAGTATTGATCCTAGTCGTCTTGGGGGATTTATCGTGCCAACTGCCTTTAAAAGATCAATTCCTTGACCCAAACGTGGGCTGAATACAGCGTGTGCAGCATAGCTATCATAGCACGTCCTGCCACTGAGGAAAATTTTGCAAACTGCGACTCCCGCCTCAAAATTTCCTTCTCTGGCATGCCTCCACCCGTTCCTACTTGCCTTCCTACTGAATTTCCCAACTTCTAGTTTTTTTTTGTTTTTTCTGGACATCCCTCCACTTTTTCCTCGGAAGCATCTGCGAGCGGAAGTACGTAGCGCCTTTCAAACAGAAAAAAAACCGGAAAAAGCCAACAAGCGAAAACATTTTTTCTCAAGGGCAAATACGACGACCATCTTCCCTCCCTTCAGTGACCAATACGACCTCCTCGCGGTTATCCCCACTGTACGACGTGCCTTGTGCCCTATAGCTTGTTGTGATTGGCTCCAGAAAATCGATAATTGATTTTTGTAGGTTGAGTCACTCGTACTATTCGATGAAATGTGGAGCGCCTGGATTATGTTTCGCTAATGGTGCGTTCCATCCAGTCGAAGGAGGACATCCAAGGTGAGCTGGCTTCCTAGTAGACTAACTTACTTACTCTTGACCAGTTGTACACAAATAGGATTTCTGATCGTGCGGAATATTTGGCACGCAGCGCGCGGCTAGGAAAGTTGATGATTTTAAGAGTGTCTACCCGAATACCCGTTCAGCTTTCCATTCCGTAGCCTACTAGCAATAAAAAACGAAAAGATTTGAATCACTCGTGTTTTGTTTGGGCGCAATTCGGCGACGGAGGGGGGCATTTGCACTTTAACTGCTTCACTACTTCCGGTTTACAAGTCTCACTCTGGTGAAACTTGTGAAGCTGGAGCAAGCTCGTCTAACCATGTTAAAACGTGTCAACTCAAGAAAGGCTACATAGAACGTTGGGTCGTACACATCAAGTGGAGCAACATGCTCCGCGCGGTCGCCTAAAGCTCCTTTTGTTTGTTGTGTGAGATTGTGGCACGCTATTAGTGACATATTCACCGCGACTAGAAAAGCGAACCTATCGTCACACTGTCGTTTTTTGGAGAATACGTTCGATCTGTTCTCTGGGCACTGCGTTTCAGCATCGTCGATTTCTATAAGCAATGTATGCCACGCTTGATGAGCTTACGTAATCGGTCCAATGCGGTCGATGGCTATGGATGATGTGGAGTTTGTTGTTGTGAAGCGATTGTGTTCGTTTGCGTGAAGGTTCGGTCTATTCCAGCTAAGAATGATTTAATTTTTCTATAGTGGGCCCCCAATCTTGGTCTCTGATTTTTTTGAATATTTTTTCATAACATTTGCGTCGTCCCCCTTCTATCATGGTCACTACTCCCAGAAACCTCCCAACTCCGCTATGAATAAGCTGGTGTTAATCGGTATTGGTCATTAGCAAAATTTTCGGCGTGTTGTTCAACAAGTGCGAAGAAAGTGTCATTAGAATCCCGATCCCGTGGGTGTGTGCGAAAATGCTCGTGCTTCGGGGTAGTCCAAATTCATTTTTGAGAGAAACTGGTATGGACGTGCAGGCAGCGCAACAACAATGCTCTCGGCAGGCAGTCATTGGTTCATGGACGAATTGCTGTTCGTTCATCGAAGTTTCGCTGTCACTTCTTTGTTCCCAATGTCCCCTGTAGCTTGCATCGATAGCTTATTGGGTTCAGCAGACCATTCGCGAATCAGTCGGGGCGGTTGCCACGGGGCAGGGAAAGACTCCGACCTTGGCTTTTCCTATCACTGTTCTTTTTTTTTTCTAAATCGATCGCTAACCGTTCACTAGAGTAGAGTACGCAGCCCCGGGCCGGCTTGTTCCACTACTCCTGACAGCCGCCCTGACTTATTGCAGCGATATCAACTATGAATGCACTTCAAGTTCTATCTAGTTGAGGAAAGGGGATGCGCCGCGGGTGTGGGTGTGTTTCACATTGTAACTCGCCCCTTGTAACATAGACCAAGTATGGCTTCAGCAATACAATCCTTCTCTTGTATTAGGACTCTTCCAATGCTTCTAATTGCGAAGCACCTCTAATACTCTATGTGAGTAGAGGGCGCACCAGCGGATATGACGCAGTGGTGGGCCTTGCTCCACCCCTGCAACTAGCGTGTACTGCGCCTTGGTCAAGTGTGAAGAATTTAAAGGCAGTTGGGGCGATATCCCTAAATACGAGTAGGATTAACAGGATTGGCATGGCAGAAATTCCGTGACCCTGGGAGGGGCGCCTACGGCAGCGCCTGTTCAGGATCACGTGAATTCTGCATGCCCATCCTTATATTGCGCCTAAGAGTGAGCAGGCAACATAACGACGCGGCTGGACGCTCACGGTTCGCCGCCGCGCACCACTGGATCGTGTAGGCATCATAGCATGAGGACGTGCCGTTGTGGACAGCCCGAGCCCACGTATATGAACCACCCGTGCCTACGTGTAATGTAATGTGACGTAGAGCGACGTAGAAGGTACTGCTGGCACTTTTGCCAGCAGTAAAGGGTCCAGTCGGTAGACTCGTCTGAAGGCAGGCGATTGCGCCTCAGGCCGTTCGCGCTCGCCACTGTCCTTGTGCGCAGGGCGATGAAATAAAGCCATATCGTAGTTCCCCACCATTTCGCCCTGTTTTTTCACCATTTTTGCATTACTGGGCACCTTTGCTCTTTTTCATAGTGAACATGAAAGTATCGCCCGACTGCTTTTAAAGGAAAGGAAATTATGGTTGCACTGCCTACGAGGCGTTCGATTGAGGTGAAGAATTTCGATCCCAAAGAATACTCCTGGACAGCACCTAGGCACCTAGGTTGGCACCCAGTTATGGGTAAGGCCTGATGCTTTACGGTAGCGAGTACTGACCCATATGCAGGAATCATAAAAGGCAGCTCCACGCATTCCATACGACACTCCCCCACCCTCAGCTGAAACAAGGATGCTGGTATGGTCCTGTGGTAGGACAAGAGTCTGGATCGAGAGCGTCAGGGTGGCCACACAGACAGCTCCAATCCAGGTAATTGCACGAAAGCAGCAACTGCATCGGGCATGTACTGGGAAGGCCTGGAGACCTCTGGATAAGGGAAACACTGGTCTTCGAATCACACAGCAAGCAACCTCGTGGAGCTCTAGAGAAGAAGTGGAGGGACATCGCCAGGGAAGGCCCTACACCTGGGCAGCTTTTGCATAGTACACATGCTCAATAACACGCTTGCTGCCTTGTCTGTTCCGGTCGCACTCTGAAAACCTGCCCCTGCGTATCGCTTCGAAAGCCTCAAATTTGTCACCAGTACGCACGGGAATGGATGGGCGAGGTCTGAAAAACTTGAAATGACAAGCAGTTTCATGACAAGGCTCGAACATATGTCATAAATCTCTGACGGCTTGGTATGTGATCGTATTTGATGCGCTGAAGGTGGGGATTGTCATATGCGAAGGTGCCATCGCGGGCGCGGAGAGTGAAATATGGGTTTTCAACTGATGCAGGATGTTCTAATTTTTCTGAGCCTAGTCAGCCGGTTGGTTAGCGACTACGTACATCGCTTATCCCTGGGATGGAGTAGGCGTGGCATCTGAACTCGGCGTAGGATGGGTTACTCGTGGGATATTTTTATTTGGGACAACTGTCATCTTAGTCTGTGTTGGACAAAGACTTGATTACAGTTGTCCCAAATGGTAATATCTCACCAAAACGCTGCTGACACGACGCTCTGTCGAAGTACGCAGCCACACTACCGCATCTAAGGGTTTTTGCGTGTACTGTCGGAGATCAGGTGTGGAAGGGATAAGCACCCAAAGGCAAGTGAACCGGTCCTATTGAGATGGAAGGCTCCAGCGGAACCAGTTCCGAAGTCAGCACCTTGACAGCGTTCGTGTTGAGCGCCGGTGAGGCGCGTCAGTAGGCTGGGTTTTGGCACGGCGCCAGCCAGTTGGTGGAAAACAAGCTCGCGACGTGCCAAACCCAAGCGCCGCTGGCCCGCCCGATTAACTTAAATGACTGTATATACCTACATTCGAATTTTTGATTCAAATTTATAGCCCCAAATTTCTCAACACTAATTCTTTATCATTACAGATTTCGGTCTGAGCTCTGAAGGAAAATCGGTGGTTGCAAAAGGAAAAGAACGTTTTCTCAACGCACTGTATGCATACGTGAGAAACCAGAAGGTGGACAATGCACCTCACGCAACTTGTCGCGTGGCCAAGTACATGCTGATGCTCTCTGCACTTACCGTGAGTTGCCACGCCTCCTTTGATGAAAGCCCCGCCCACAATCTCATTGGTTCCAGGCGCTCTGCCATCTGCTGAACGAAGAAGTCCAAATGACAAGTTTATTCAACATAATCGAGTTCGACGAGCTGATACAAGCCTGCCATAAGACTAGTCCGCCACGGTCACGATAGACCTGAGATCGCTCCGCCCTGAAAGGATTGCGAGCCTACCGTTCACCGCCTAGTGGAAAGTGTACGTATTGATCGAGGGCGCTTGCATGTCACTCTTTAAACACTGTCTGCAAAACAGCATTTGATCCTCATTGAACATACCTCGGCCATCCTCAGCCGAGCCCTTATTTCTGATGCCTGCCATGTAGGCAATGAGTCACTCATAAGTACTATGATAAAAAAGAGCTGTAAATGATTTTATGGATTTTTTTTCCTTATTTTCTCTTTCACATCATTTAGATGATTCTATTCAGTGGACTATATTAGTTCTTCGTGTCAAAAGATTCTAGTGAACTTTGATTCTGTGATAGTTGTGTGTGATTCGCCCCCGATTGATTGTGTTATGAAATGATAATGACTATTCTTATCATGTTTATAGGCAGAGTAATGAAAGATTTCTTCTCATCTGTAATGAATCCTGACCATAGAATGGGCTACAGGGGCTGCGCTGTTCGGCTGAGAGGGGGGGGGGGGCATTTTGCACCTTTTCTAAACTCCTTTCGAAAAGAAACGGTTTCTTCCCATAAGTGAGGGGCTTCACATGAAGAATCCTCGTTGAGGCTGGCAATCATTCTGAAGTTTATCTGAAGCTTGGGGATTCTCTGCTAAGGCAGCGTTCAGACTTCGCGACGGCAGCGCTTCGGTCGCGCGTTCGGCGCGATCGATGCGCATGCTTTCGACTGCATCGATCGCGTCGAACGCGCGACCGAAGCGCTGCCGTCGCGAAGTCTGAACGCTGCCTAAGTTATTGCACGACGTCCAACGCAAATTTGCCTGATTTATTCGAAGGAACGGATTTTCCACAGGGTTTCTTATTTTCGATCGTTTGAAAAAATCCGAGTCCTAAATCATTCACTTTAAAATAAAAGTATTGGCAAGATGCCAGCTGTGACACGAGTTAGAGCTTTTTTCAACCCAAATGCGTACGACCAAGAACACTAAAAGGCTTGTCTGGCTGCGGCGGATGCCGTTCAGGGATTAGACCCCTGGGCTCGGGCCACGCAGCATAACTTGTCCTCAACATTACCTGCAGTTTATCGACGGGGAGGGGGGGGGCATTTTGCTTTCCATAGATGTGTCGACCCATCTAGGTAGCGTTTTCTTGAGTTGACACGTTTTGGGATGGTGGCTAGACGATCCTGCTCCAGCTTTACAAGCGTTCACAAGTTTTACCAAAGTGAGATTTGCAAACCGGAGCAAGGGAAGCAGTGATAGTACAAAATGCCCCCCGCCTCGATAAACGGCGCCCCTGCTTACTTCAACGTTTTATCTTTACAATTTGACTGAGGAGAAATTGCTGCAAATCATTTTTCCTTTACGTGTCCTGCTCATCTATATCTATTCTCATTTATTTTCAAACTTTAGAAATTTCAATACTAAAAGACTGGTATTTTTACATCTAAATACATGTCAATTGAATATAAATAGAAATCTCTGTAACATTATATAACATACATTATAACAGAACTATCGCCTGCTAAGACTTCATGCAAACAAATAATCAGTTGAGGTTAGACTAAGTATTGTATGGAGTAGAATCTCAAAAATACGTTTAGAATCGTGAAATGAGCGAAATAGCTATGATACAAATGGTTCAGGATGCTGGCGGTGACTCGAGAGTGCTTTCCACCCGTGGCTTGGTCCGATTCCAGATCCCCGCCGCCACCCCGTATAGCAATCCGTCGATGAGACGCAAATCTTCCGGTTGTAGATGATGCATACTGATAAGATTCTCGTGGAATATGGATGGTCCCTGAAAACAACATTGTGCTACATAGATCTCGTACGATTAGAGCAGTGGCAGTAGTCATAAGTGTGCTGTTAATGAGATGAGATCTTAGCAAAATCTGCCCCCAAACCAAACCTTTTAACACTTTTCTGGTTGGTCCTCGATTTGTCTGGAGAAATAAGAATGTCGCAAACACCAACATGCTACAATTTCGGCTTTCGTTTAACCTTAGGAAGGGCATTTAGACTTTTCGAGCAGAACTGGAATCACCTTTCAACGGGACTTTTACCTAAACAAGGGGAATTGACTTCGTTTGCGATAGCCAATTAAAAGGGCAGTAATCCTTCCGTTTTTTAAAGAACAATTATAGTTGCACAAATAGTCTCGGAATGTTCCCTCGCACCCTCCCTTCTGTCAAGGTTAAGCAGTCAGTTCCTAGTTCTAGAATCGTCAGCATGGGATGAGTACACGTACAATATGACGGCACGCTGCTATAAGAGTGCTTAGTAATCAGAACGCGCCTTTCGGCTATAAGATTGGGCAGGTCACTATAGGCAAATGATGTGTACACAACTTCGCCAAACTAATCAGCGCAGTGCTTGAGCGGTAAGGGTATTTGTGGAGTTCTCCAGCGTCTTTTTATTTGTAACAGACTTTCGGCAGAGGGCGCGCCTGGAGAATAGCACACCGCCCTTTCGGATATTTTCTCGCCCTTCATTGTTGAGTTTCTCCTTTGCGCTCTCAGTGCTTTGGACAATGCTCAAAAACGAAGTCTATATCTGCTCAAAAGAAGAGATGTTCTCAGGTACGGCTTCAAACGCAGCTGCGAGCGTCCGTAAGAAACAGAGACATTAAATTATACGTTTACACTACCCAGCATTCCAGAAATGTGCGTAAATAAGTGCTGAGACCACGACTGCACACATTATTCCCATTTCGGGCCTGCCCTATACCGTCACGCTACGGGTCGGGAGGAGGTTTTTGTCGTTCCCGCTTTTCGGCATTACTCGGGAGCTCCATTCTTGCACGTTTGCGCGCTGCCTAGGGTTTCTGTACACCCCTGTTTTTCTGGACCTATGAACAAGTTAAAGATGCATGTATAAGAAGGGAAGGTCGGTACGGGAACTGAAGCTGGGCGCTCTTTTCTACCTTCCGATTTAGACTATAGCTGCTGCAGCTGTCTTGTGCTTCTTTCCCCACTAGCGCTACAGACTTATGTATTAGGTTGATAAGAGCGTGGAGGCGGCCGACGACTGTTGGTTGAGTACACCCAAGTCTTGTCGCAAGACTGCGGGTGCTGAGTTCCGGATCCTCCTTGACGGCGTCGAGAATGGCGAAGTCGTCGACTGTGTGGGGGCGTCCCGACCGAGGCTTATCTTCGAAGTTCGTGTCTCCTTCTTCGAAGCGAGCGAACCAGCGCTTGACCGTGCTAAGAGAAGTGGTGCCCTCTCCCAATGTGCTGTTGATGTTTTGAACGGTTGCCGTCGCTCCGGTCCCGCGAAGCCATTCGTAGTAGATGACGTGTCGAATTAGCTCTTGTGTGATTGCCATCGTGATTAAAGCTATAGGAAGCAGCCCAGCTTTATATACCCATTATGGAGAAGGTTCGAGAATGTTCTACAACTACCACTTGCTT